GCTATAACTCAGCCCCAAAGGCCCAGTCAAGCGAACCAAGATAGACTTTTACTTACCTCAACAGCTCCTATGCAATGAATATAATATCAATCGAAAAGCGATTAAACACTTGGAAACGTTCCCTCGTTAGACGATTTGTTTGAAATACAAACGTTCACAAATAAAAAATACTTTTTCTCCGGTACATCTTAAATCTTATCCAGCGGAAATTCAGTTTGTAAATAAAATTGAAATAGAAGAACAAACGAAACCATTACCTCCAAATCAACAAAACAACCATTAGAATATCAAAAATATATTCGCAATAATTCTCATTCTCAGAAGCATGGATATGTAATAGAGGAGTTGCTGCCATATCGTTCCATCCAAGATCGTATATTTCTGTCCATCAAGTCTGTATGAATTCGTTTGATGATGACGGGCTTTCATTCACAATGGAACCAATTAAACTGTCACTGTTGTTACTAAAAAATTGATGCATATTTTTTGCAATGAGAACGTCCACATTTTCCACCTATTGATGTTGTTTGACGGTGATGTGAGTGTAATTCTTGAAAAGTTAGCAGAGGAGGCTGCTTCCAATTCGGCTCCTCGAAACAACATGTTGTTTTATCGATTTTCTTAACATAGACACTTGCACACTCACATACAGGCTGCCACTCCCGCTGCAAGCAACCATAGTCTCTGTTGACGTAAGCACTATGTTCAGTCGATATACACCACGAGTGCTACCAGGAAGGACGACTGAGTAAGTGTGAGTGTTCGACTACTGGTTTAGCTCGACATGAGCCGAATTGGAAGAAGCCTCCTCTGCTAACTTTTCAAGAATTACACTCACATCACCATCAAACAACATCAGTAGAGTTTTCGATATCATCATCCAAACTAACAACCGGGCTTGGTAAATCTTCTTCATCTAGAATTCCATTTTGACTAACAAGCTTCCAAAATTTTGAATCAGAACGAGGCGATTGGCCAAACACGACTTCATCTGGTGTTGATTTTGTTGTACTAGAAACTCGAGTATTGATTCCATAAACAACGGGCAAAAAACCATCAGACCAATGACTAGAATCGTTTTCTAACATCCATTTTTCAAGCGCATCGCCCAAAACTTCATTCGCCTTTTCAACACAACCTTGACTTTGAGGATGACGGGGACGCCCTAGAACAAAACATAAATTTCGAAACAAATTTTTTAACTCTGTTATAACACTTGCGACAAATTCTTTTTCATTATCACTATGAAGTATTCGCGGAGGACCAAAAAGAAAAAACAGTTCTTGCAATTTTAAGGAAATATCGACAGCTGACTTATATTTTAACGGAAACGCCCATGCATATTTGCTAAAATGGGCGACACAATTTAGAATCCAACGATAAACTACATCAGCAATAACTGTATCTGGTCTGGTTCGCATATCAACAAGATCAGTTTGGAGTCTCATCATGACACTCAATTATATTATCGGTTTCGAAACAACATGTTGTTTTATCGGTTTTCTTAATTGACATGCTACACATCCCTTCAAAAACATCTCGACAGCAAATCGTGGAATCCAAGAATATTGAGAATCTATTTCGAAAATAGTCTGATTGCGACCACTGTGAGAAACATTTGCATGACTTTCTTTTACCACACTTTAGAACGCTTCAAATACACATATCGGTTTTTTGCTTTTGGCACAACATGCAATATCTATACCAGATATTTTCAATAAGACGAAAGTTTTCTAACCCAAAAAAGAAACGGCGATGAGAATAAATTTGATGACTTACCCTTTTCCAATACCATCAAATGTACTCTGTTTAATAACGCTTTTTTCTCGACATTTCTCTGGTAAAGAGTCAATGTGCTTTTGCACTTCAACGTAAGAGAGTGTTTCATTGTTATTAACTTCAATAGCTTCGACAGCCGTTATAGATGAAGATGTCATTTTTTTTAAAAACAAGTCCCATGAATGTGATCACACCACGAGCAATATTTATGTTACGTGTTAGGAGTCAAGAGTATCTAGAACATCGTGTTATTATTTTTCTCCTCAATTCTGACTGATAAATTTCAATTTCTCGTTCCTTCTTTTATAGTATTCTTATTTCTCTTTATAGTTACGTGAAAAAAAGAAAGATTATACACCACTATTACTTTCTAGATCGAACAAAAAAAGAGATACATGATGAACAAGTGGTTAATAATGCTTTTGTTGGTGCTCCTTGATCGATTTATAGAATGATGTGAGGTATAAAGTAGCAGCAAGACAATCATGCCACCTTTATATGGTGAAGTGGATAAGTATTCTGTCTTGTGCAAATGAGATATTATCAACCAAACTGTATACAGTTATTATCTCATTTGCTGAGACAGTAGAAACTAAGAGCATGGTTTTATCATGAGAAATCACAGTTTTCGTAGCGATTCTCTATCGGTCATACCCGAATCCAAAGTCTTTGGAACCTCGCCCTAAGGAACAGATTGAATGACGCATTCATAGCAGCGAGCTGGCATTGGTAATTAAAAAAATTTCGTGAGTCTCATCCGCGTTCGAATTTCAAGTTTGACCACAACATATACGTAGTTATTCAGATACAAATAATCAGCATATTAAACCAAAAAACATTTTGACATTCTCTTAAAGTTTGAAATACAAATAAGGACGAAACATTAGTGGTTCGCTCAAACTCATATGAGCTGATGTGATAAACAGACAGCACCAGAAAATCTGAAAGAAAGAAGTCAGACATCATGCAAATAATAGCTAACTTATAAAGCTTTATTGAATAAAACGTTTTTACTAAAAAGAACTGTATTTAAATTAAGAGATGGACTTACATAAAGAACTAGAGAATAAAAATGAAAAAGAAAAATGTTAAACAGAACGGAAAACTATCCATGCTAGGTCAGCTGTGTTAGCCAATCGAAATAGAGATAGTCGCTTATAGTTTCGATAGTGGAAGAACAATGCATTAATATCAGCACGGCTAGGGGTGGCGCTTTACCGTTTCTTTACAGGTAACGCAGTAACGCATGCGTTATTGCGTTACTGATAACGAGTAACGCATGCGTTATTGCGTTACTGGTAACGAAGTAACGCAGGCGTTTATTTTTCATAGCTATTGTAACGAGTAACGCAGCGTTATTTGCGTTACTTTAACGCTTTTTTTGCGTTACTTTTCTAGTAACGCAGTAACGCATGCGTTACTCGTTACCAGTAACGTATAATATACTAACGCATTAGTCGCATT